ACTGCTACTGCTACTGCTACTGCTACTGCTACTCCTACTCCCACTCCTACTACTACTACTACTACTACTACTACTAAGACTACTACTACTCCTACTCCTACCCCTAGGCGTTTCATCTTGGGTCTGTTCGGATCATTATTCGACAGCCAAGAAGGCCGCGACCATGTAGCAGCACTGCTCCATGTCGTCGTTGCAGTGACCCCTAGAGACTTGCAGCATTGCATCTATAGGGTCGTATAATCACACGGCTGGTTGGGACCTTTCTGTCTGGACCAGTTGAGTCTTCGAGGCCCTTCGCGTGCAACCGACCCACCTCTGATGGTCTGCTTGACTTTGCTGCATTCCACAGATGTGGGATTCATCTAGCTGTGTCTCAGAAGTAGGACGAGATCCATGCTTGAGATGTCTGAATCCAGCACCATATGCGACAACAGGGCAGCGTGGGCTAACATGGGGAGGGCTGGGGCAGTCCCACCTGAGACAAGCTGTCGAAGAGACCCGGCAGGTTGGTCAACCGGCGTCCTTGGGACTAGCCTTGTTTCGGGATTGCAGTCCTCGTCGTCATGCTATGGCATGCAGCGATGTTGTGTCGCATCGTGGCCACAACATGCCATCATGACGTGTGCAGTGTGTAGCCGTGCGATATATTGCACCTCTTCCAGGTGCTGATGCATCACTACATTGCCGGATCATCGCCTTTTGCAGTGTTGAGCATAAGGATGAGTGTAGTCCTATCTGGGTCCGACTGAAAAAACTTGTTCATCAGATTCTGTACATGAGATCGGTTATCTATTGTTAATCGCACGGATTCGAAACAGCTCAGTAAGTAATGGTCAAGCGAGTAATGTAACTCTTTCTGTTATTGATCATCGTATAGAACGACCAGATTGTAAGGGCTCTGCAGGTGGTGTGAGTCTATTGGAGAAGCAACCCTCTAATTTCTGACCATAACTGGATGACCCTTTTGCCCTGTCGAATTTTGTTCCAGTGTGTTGAACTGTATCTTTGTCTTTGTTTACTTCTTCCGCCAGGTAGTATTCCGTATGCCACCACATAGTCAAAGGTTCTTGGTTCACCAACCGCTGAGTCTGCCCTATATCCCTGGCACCTTGCCAGGGCAACATGTGGGTGCATTGACAAGCCCAACATTGCAGTGCAGTCTCGGCGCGGCGTCTAATCAAGGTTTGATTTCTCAAGGGGGAGTTGAATTACAGGGGTTTCCAGCTGGTAGGACTTTCGTCGCGAGCTTCTAGTGCGGCGTTATCGCTGCCTATCGGATTTGCCCCGCCCCGAATAAAGCCGCTCTGCGGTGCCTCACCGGCGACCACTCGACTTTGCCGCTTCTGCATGCTGGTTGCAAATTGTGCGACCCCTGTCTTCGGGGCCAAGCCGCAGTCAACAAAAACCGTCGGGTTCCCTAAACCCTAAACCCTAAACCCTTGGGGGTAAAGTCCTAAAGGCGGAGCGTCACAGAATACGAAGGCCCATGGCTGAACTCGAAGCACATGTGCTCAAAAATTGGTTGCTAAAGGCAACGCTCCACACAGCATTCCCTTGCGAAGGCACATACGCCTTTAGGTAAACACAGAGACGGCCCCTCATAGAAGCGTATAGTTAGAAAACCCTATCAACTGAAGTTGGCCGATAATGCCTATGTCTCATGTTGACACTAAAACTTAGCAACATGCCTGCGGCCTCGCGCAGCAGACTCAGACTGCAGCTGGGTAGGCGACCATGTGCTGGATCGCTCGTTTGGGGAGGCAAGACTGTCACCAAACCAGCGCATCAGTCTCATCTGCCAGTCGAATTCTGCTACAGAGTTTTGCAGCACAGGCTCCTAAACTTTGATTGAAAGGGTCCCTAAGCCTAAGCCCTTTATATACTCGTGACCCATTGACCCATTGAGCCCCAAACGCTCTGCCCCATAACCCCACCCGGCCTAGTTCGCACCTCTGGGATCCTGGCTCACGTATGTCCATTGAGGGCTGGCCTCCTGGCAAAGCACTGAATGCCTCCCTGGTAATTTTGGGTTAGGGTTCAGGGTTCGGGGTGTAAGGTCTTATTGGTTTCTGGCATGGTGCTTTTGTTTATACACCGGTATACCAGTGCCAAGTACTACTGTCTGCAATCAGTATAATTCGTCCTTATGATCGCGTTGCTCTGCTGCTTGACCGGTGCAGGGTCTCGATCATAAGATTGACGTTCTCTTTTGGCGATCCAACGCAAGATCGGAATCAGCCAGCTATATGCGGTTTGCGTAGCTTTCATCTGTCAAGATCCATCGACCTGCTACGGCGCTACGATTCAAGAAGCCCTCTTCCCCAGAGAACACAAGGGGTATTATTTACAAGGCCAAATGGTTCAACTCTATGGGCTTCACGGAACCTGCAAACTTCTGACACCCACCTTCCGTCGAAAGGGCGATCGGAAGCAGAAGCAACAGGGCCTCAGGATGGACGAGAATTCTGAGCTCGTTGAGTGCTTTCGGAATTGCCCGGGTCCTCAAAGCCTCAACCCGAAGTTCTGCATTGCAAAGCCTTTCCGATCCAGGGGAGTCTCTAGCCTGGGATAGGAGATACTGTGGGCTTCCCAGGCCTCAGTTTACTTGCAATACTGTATTATATATCATTTTTAACACAGTATGGTATACTATATGTTATATATTATAGACCGTAGACCCTAGTTCTAGATCTGACATTGAACCTCTGCAGCACTGAGGCACTCCATGCTGCAAGCCCAAACTCTTTACAGGCCCCGACAGCGAGGTCCACAATCCTGCTACCGGCTGTGACATGTACTCTCCATTCTAGACTCTGCCATACCAGTTAAATGCCCACCCTAGATACCCAAGGCGGTGATTAGCGGTAGTGAGGCATCCTGCGACCCCGACCCACAATCAGCAATATTCAGTACAGTGCATCGTCAGCTTCGGTCAGAAGATGAAGCTCAAACAAAGATGGGGGAACGGCTGGCGTCGATTTGGCTACGTAGGGCTCTGACGGTCGTGTCCTCTTAACTTGCAGATATGAAGCAATGCATGGTTCTGTTCTGTTCCGTTTCGGCAGCCAAGCTGGTTGCAAGGAACCCCCATCCAAGGGCCAAAAGAAACAAAAGAGACCCACTACAACCCAGAGATTTATGGAGCAACTGGACGGGCCATCAAAAGCTATGTAGACAAAGCAAGTGCTTTGTGAGCTTTTCAAGGCACAGTGGCTCCAATGTGCCGGTCAGGCGCTTTTCCAAGAAACCCTATGATTAGCATGGACTGCCTTGGCCATGAACAGCACATCAGTGAAAGCTTCGCGTGTTGACGGTGTCCAGACCTCATTTGCTTGAAGCTCCCTGCCATGGGTGTGACGCATTTTGCGCCTCTACAGCTCGAAGAGGGACGAATATAAAACAGGGGCAGTGTGGCAAGCTAGGTCCGAAAGCAGCTTCGATTGACCAAGCCCTGTGGGGTGAAGCTTGCACTATGAAGCGTAAGTTTCAAAGCTGATGCTGGTCGCGGGCGTGGAAGCGCACCAAGCGGGCCAGTCTATAAAACCCCATTCGAGCAGAAGAAGCTTTGAACTTGTCGTCCAGGTGCTGGTGAAATGATCACAGGCGGTGAACATGGCCCATGCTAAGTTCGATTCAGCTGCCTTCCACAGCCTGGCTCGCCGGCAAGCTATATCCAGCACACATTGCGCCGATCCGGTCATGTGCCAGCCGACTTCAGCCAAGGCGACTGCAGAGCTTCCACCCGGCAGGCCCAATGCATGAATATCCACCTCTTGCATGGCTTCCAACATGGACGCATTTCCTGTCAACATCTGATTGAAGAGACCGGTGATTCCTGCCACATCCAAGCAGCCAGTCCGTCCTGGGGACCCACGGCCAAATTTCAGAGCACAGCCGTCGTTAGGATGATCAATATATTTTTTGCAGGCACGCAGGCCTACTTCAAGTCGTTTCGTGTGGCAGAAGTGCAGCTGTCAAGGGCTCGGATGGAGCTAGAAACTCGATCGTGCAAGCCAGGCATTTTTTGCGAGGTCATGTTTAGATGCTGCTGCAGCTGTGGTGCCATGCGGCAGCACTTGCAGATGGTGCTGTGTAGTTTAGACCTAGTAGCGTGGAGTGTGGAGGACATGGTTGGCCCTCCTGCGTATCGAACGCGTTGCAGGCATCTCCTGCTGAGGTCTTCAATGTGACTGCCCAACTCGACAGAGGATGCCACGGCTGTCATGAAGTTGCGTTCTACAGTATGCAACAGCATGAACAAGGCCCACCACCAAATAACAGTCCTGCTGGTATTCTATTTTTCACAAATATGGAGGCTAAACCTCTACGACAATAAACTACCGCACCCCGGTTCGGGAGGGACTAGGGTTTCGGATGCTGGCTCCTTGAGCGCATTTATTGTTATTCTTCTTATGACTACTAAAATAATCATTAAGAACAGTGATGGTTTTACTGTTAGTATGAGTATTCACATGAGTAGCGGTAGCATTAGACTCTGCACTGGGGCCCGGACTGCTCCTCACCTGCATTCTCCTGCGCAGGAAAAGAAGGCTGGGTTTAGTCCTCCTCTCCAGGATCCATGTCTTGATCTGCAGATCCCCGGAGGGAACCCTCAAACGTCAGTTGAACTATACTCCTCTGAGCGGTTGTTTTGCATTCATCTTAGCAGTTAGATCTGGGACGATCGCCAAGCTTGAAAGCCAAGAAATCTCAGGTGTGCCCGCAAAACTCCCTAGCTTACTTCATAGCAGTGCTGAAGCTGATGGTTGCAAGTTTGCGCTCATTGTACAGTCACAATTTGGGATCTGACTCCGGAATAACACTTACGGGACTTAGGCTTAGGCGTCCTTCTGTCTGGGGATTACCTCGGTGCCTTCATGCGCGATCTCACCATTTATCATTGCAAACCAGCTCACAGCGACGAAGAGGCAGCACTGCATCTGAACCCACCCGACATGACCCGACACTGCATATCACGGTCTTGAGTCTAGTGTAGGGATGACAGGAGGCTGGAAGTTCCTAGCAGAGCTGGGCTATACTGCCACTATACTAAGGTAAGATGGGGGATAGCCTTGATCATTCAAGCTGGCAGGACTTCATAAAAACCTGCAATCTAAGACCCTACAAGTAGTTTGGAAACGTCAGCCATGAGCCTTCGAAATTCGCGCCTTCGCGCTCTCCTCTACCAATGGACTCCTTTCCCTTTCCTGCAGCTTTCCTGAGCACTTGAGGGTGCAAGGCATCCGGGAGTGGAGCAGGGGCCGAATCGAAAGCAAACCTGAAAGGCAATCCGACATCAGCGTTCTGCAAACAGAGACCAGCCATTCGTGCCGATCACTCGTGGACCAAAGAGGTGGCATTTTGTTCAAGCCTGACGAGGTCGAACCCGAACACAGCCTTCCATGCTACGAGGATCCATGTTTCAAGATGATGCTCGCAGTCCTTTGATGTCCACACTATTACCCTCTCTCAAGTCTGATCTCGATGCCTGACTACTGATCAACTTCATGCTTTGTGAGGGTCTGTCACCCTCCTGGATGTGCGACAGCGATCGCCGCGTCTGGCAGGCACAATAGGCGAACATCACCGAAAGGCAGACCTCGGAAACTTTCGGGTTCAGTCATAAGTGAAAAGGCCAGGCTTTGAGTGACGAGCAGACCGAAAGAGAGCAACTCGAGCATGCGCTCCCTGGACCGTGTCACCTGCCTAAATGTACGCCTTACTACGCCTGTTCGAATCAGCACGGGCGAGCCCGTTGCCAATTCGGTAGCCATAGCAAGGAAGTCGCTGATGCTTCGTAGGCTCTTGCTTTGCCAACGTACGGGCACATTGGCAGCACTGGTGTATCAGTCCCAAGATTCCGGACCATGGACTAAGGGCAGCACCAGAATGTGGTACAGGAAAGACTCATTGTACGCTCCATCTATGGGCACTTCAAGCTCCACAATGCCTGAAGACAGGACAGAAACCAACTTGGGAATCAAAGCTGAAAATTACACACACTCGGGGATGCTGATGCCCAGTGGCTCGAGACAAATAATTACGACGACCCCATGATGAGCAGCTGGCCGCTGAATGATGATGCTGGTGCGGTGCTTGTGATGATGAAAATGGTGATGAGGATTCGATCACCATCAAATTCCGGAATGAGGACTGGATAAACAGGACCAGGAAGTGGACCCGGCACCGGTAAGGCATCACATCACGATTATGATCCTTAACGCTGCTGCGGCAAAAGCTAGTTCCATCCTTTACGACATGACTACTACTTAAGGGGCTTTCTGCCTCCGAGACTCAAGGCCTTTCGATTCCGATTTTGTCACAGCCAACTTGGACAACTTCACCTCTCGCCCTCTCTGGCACCCCTGAAAGGCCTCCGATCACGTACATCAAGCCGCTCAGGATCATGAGCAGGTGTGGCGGCCGGAATCTGGAACCTGGCAGTAAGAGGCGTACGGTCCAATTTTGGCAAAGAGTAGATTGAGTAGACCTTGTCGGAACAGTGGCTATGCTGCGTTATGCCAAAGCTTCAGGAAGTGAGGCTACAAGCACAGCGATCGCTCTGAGCATTGCACTGGAGCCCTGTGCACGACAACTCCTTGCCACAAATTCATGAGGACAGGCACCCTGATCGAGTCTGAGACAGCCCTGCGCACGAAGGAATGTATAGGAAAGTTACCAGCTTCGGTGCCATGCAAAGTTACACATACAGTTAGGGTAGAGGGAAACCTGAGTTCCGCCGTGACTTCGTGCTCTAGTGTCCAGGAACATGACTTTTTCCAAGATTGCTCAGTCGCATGATGAGCAACAAATCGCAGCATTCATCTACAGCCTCGCTTGGAGGCTTCTTCTACGCTCCCGCTACATGAAGCCTCAACCCCCAACCCTGGGCTCTTAACCCTGCAGCATACACCCTCAGTCCAAAATCGCTCACGTCCAAAAAGCGTAAGACCTAGCCGCCCTGGCCCCTTAAACCTTACCAAAGCTCTTACACCGGCCCTAAAAGTAACCTTAAAGCCCTAGAACCTAAACCTCAACCCTAACCCATTCAAGCTACAGCCTCCCTTAGCCCAAAAGCCCGGCCACGAACCGCGAATCGGCTGCAAAGCTCTGAGCCGAGGAGCTCAGCGCTTCGAGCAAGGGGACCAGGATGGCACAAGCGGCCATGAAGAGGCTTCCGAACTTGTAGACCTCAGGGTTCGGAGTTCTTGGGTTCAGGGCTTAGGGCTTTGGGCTGAGCTCGGGCTTGCAGACCGCATCCCTCATCGGGCTCTTGCTCAGGACTTGCGGAGCTTTTGGTCTCTTTCGCCAAAGCTTCGAGGGATCCGGGCTAGGGCGGCTAGGAGCAACCTCGAGGTTGTCGGTCTCGGCTTTTGCTTGTAGGGTCCAAATCAAGACTAGTTCTTATATAGGGGCCTCAGCAACTAGAATCGGGTTCTGCGGTACATTGTGCCATAGTTGCAATACGTGGGAATCCAAAGACAGGGTGTTTTCGGGGTTAGACTCTATATAAGGGGTCATAACCTGCAAAATGTTGGGGATTCAGGTGGGGACAGTACCGATTATTTAGACCCCTATATTTGGGAGCAATGCATGGCCGAGGCACTAAAGACAGCGGTTCGCCTCTCACAAACCTTCGGCGCATCTATCACAGGTTGGGATTACGAAACCTGGTGTTGCAGTGTGTTTCTGTCCTCCATGCATCAGGCCTGATAGGATGTAAGTGGCAGCTGCTTCTTCCTTCTGTGATGATGATGATGATAGTGACTTTGATGGAGACGAACTGGGCAGTCTTACTATTGTGGATGCTTTGATGCAGCCGCTCATTTGACTGCAGTCGCCGCTGTTGTGTAGTGCCTTGTTGCTTATGCTATGGCAGGTGTTGCTGGCGTCGAGGTCCTGTCTGTTTGCTTCTTTGGTTGGTTTTGCAGTTGGTGTTAGCCTTGGCGTTGTTGTTGATGGGGTTGGCGTTGGCGTTGGCGTGGACGTTGCCGGTGCCGGTGACGGTGGGGTTGGTGATGGTGGCGGTGGTGGAGGCGATGGTGTGGTGGTGGTGGTGGTGGTGGTGGTGGTGGTGGCGGTGGTGGTGGTGGCGGTGGCGGTGGTGGTGGTGGTCGGGGTGGGGGTGGCCGGTGGCGATAGTCGTGGTGGTGGTTGGTGCTGGTGCTGCCGGTGCCGTGGTTGTGGCGGTGGCGGTGATGGTGGTGGTGGTGGTGGCGGCGGCGGTGGACCATGCTGATTTTTCTACGGCTTTTTGATTGCTCGGCTTTTGCTACACTGACACTCGCTGTTCTTATGGTGATTTTGACGATGTAGCAAGGCAATGGCTTGGTCCAGAATTTGATTAGGATCGTTGTCCACTTCGTGCTCTTGTCTGCTTTGTGGTTACGATGTACGGCTGCATGGATGCAGATCATGGTCCAGACACATGCAGAAGCCAAGTCACCAAAGTGTCTCGTAGGCGGCAAGCCCAAAGGCTATCACAGTGAGGAGACTGACAAATCCGATGCTAGGCAACCGATGGCTGGCACCTGGGACTTCTTGCGTTCGGGTGCCTTTTCAGATACCGAGAATGGTACGGTTTGCTCGGGTCAGGGGGTTGAACGGAACCTTAATCTAGAGTACTTGCCATGATTCTAGGTGGCTGTGAAACAAGGCCTAGCTGCCAGAACGTGGTGCTTTCTAGCAGGAGTCGACTAGAAATTGTTGTATAGGAACCTGCATCAGTGCAATGCATCGGTCTGGAGCCTCATCGGCTCCACTCTGAGACTCTAACCTACCCAGAGAAGCCAGAAGTTTTTCATGAACGCAGTCTCGGCAACAAGCTTTCTGCCAAGCTGCCAAAACTTGTAATGCTAAGAGCCACCGCGGCAAGCGCTGCCGTGGAGAATGGCCAAAATGCAAGGGTAAAGGCCCAACAGTACCTGGTTCAGGCTTCGAGATTAGACGGGTTGAGTGTCGAATGTTTGACCACGGCTTGCTCCGGAAATGTTCGGGATGTCGCCGGGCTTGGGGCAGTTGAAAGCCATGTTTGAATATAGTACAAACGTGTTAAATGGCAGCGAAGGCTTTGGTAGGTTATATACACATACGTGTACGTATGTGTGTATGTGTTTATGTATGTATGTATGTATGTATGTATGTATGTATGGGTGGATGGACGGACGGAGGTACGTATGTATGTACGTATGTATGTAGGTATGTATGTATGTATGTATGTATGTATGTATGTATGTGTACATGCACGTTTGTGGTTTGTTTGTCTGTGTGCTTGTGTGTGTGTGTTTCCTTGTTTATTTGTTTGTTTGTCTGTTTGCTTGTTTGTTCCTCAGTAAGTAGGTAAGTAAGTAAGTGCTGAAGTGAGTACGTGAGTAAATAATATGCATGTATGAACGTATCTATGTGTGTATGCATGTATGCATGCATACATATATACGTGCTTATACAAGCATGCGATGTGTGTGTATGTATATATATACACGTACATCTAATGCGTGGGTATGTGTGTCTCTGTCTGTCTGTCTGTCTGTCTGTCTGCCTGGCTGCCTGCCTGCCTGGCTGTCTGTCTGTCTGTCTGTCTGTCTGTCTGTCTGTCTGTCTGTGTGTCTGTCTGTGTGTCTGTCTGTGTGTGTCTGTCTGTGTGTGTCTGTCCGTGTGTGTCTGTCCGTGTGTGTCT